TCTCTTTCCTATTTTCGAAAACTCGTTTTTGAAAATAAGTTAAAAATTTCTAAAGAAAATCCAAAACAACAAATTTGTCGTTTTAGGTGTTTTCAGTTATAATCAAGTCAAAATTTTCAAAACACGTTTTGAGTGTTTTCAAAACAATTTATCAAAATGCCAAAAAGAACACATTTTCAACAATCTCAAAATGGACACTCAAAACACAACTCAAAATGAATTCAAAACTCAAAACACAAAATTGAAATACAAAGAGAACAGCCTCTAAGCCTCTGTTTGACTCATTTTATAATAAAACTCTTTAATTCTCATAAACATTCTATGTCTGCATGTTATTATTGTAAATTCAGTTAACAAAAATAATAGTAAGTTAAAAAAGATGTATAACTACAGAAATCTGTAATTGTTAGTTGAATAACCGCCACCATTCGAGAATTGTTCCTTAAGATTCCATATGGATATCTTTTTGTCCATGAAAAGTTCCTTATCACTAATTTTTCCAAACCCTATTCCAAAAAGATGCGTGAGCCCAGATGTTTTTAGGTTTGTAGCGAGCAGGTGTTTACTGGGACAGACTGGTTATGATTTTCTTTAAAGCAAGTGAAAATAAAAAGTAAAAAAAATCTAGTTGAGGACTGCCCAAGGGCTCAACACTTGTATCACGTATATGTGTGTGATGATACGTACTTGACTCGTTAATGGAGGTAGCATTTTCAAATTTGAAAGAGCGAGAGTAAGAGATAAATAGAAAAGATCTCAAAGAGGTTGTTTGGTATGATTTTTAAAAAGTTAAAAAGTGACTTGTGAGATTAAGAATCTACTTTTGTTTTGAGTTATGTTAGGTTTTGTGACCCAAATTCGGACTAAAGTTTGCATGATTTGGAGTATTGTGTTGGAATTTAATTTGTCACGAGGATTTATTTATATATATATATAATTAATTGTGTATAAATGCTAACTTAAAGTTAAGTTCGTTTAAAGTGATCTAATAAGGAATTTAAGTTATTGAGCTTTGAGCATTTAAATAAAATGTGGGTCTGATTATATGTGTAGAGATCAGATCCATTAGTGTTGTATTTGACACTAAGCCAAATATATATGGAATATAAATAGGGTTATGTCCTCCAATTAATATATAATTTATTGTTCTTTGTGTTATCCCATCAACACAGGAATAACAAGAGAAAACATATTGAAAATAAAAATTCAAAATCCACAATCAAGAATAAGAAATCAACAATTAAGAAGAAGGAATTAAGACAATCAAGATTGGGTGCAAGAAGTCAAAATCAAGAACAAGAATTCAAGAACTAAAATGAGACAATATTCAAGATTTAAAAATTAAGAAGTCAAACATGAAGAGATTACAGTTGATCTTCAAAATTCAAGATCTAGTTATAAAGAGTTGTCGTTGAAACTCACTCAAATGATCTTCAAAATGGTATTTTTTGGGCTTGATTTCACATTACATTTTTCATCCAATATGTAGGAGCCTTTAGACTTAATTGTTGGTAACAATTTCACTCATTAGCTAATGCCAATGAAATTCAATCCAACATTTACATCATAGCCCAGGATTCATTGGGTATCAAAATCCAAAAAAT